GTATTTGGGTTAATTTGGATATTGAGATTAATTAAAAATAAGGATACTCTTATTAAAATAATTGAAATTTGAAATATAATCCCAATAACAATACATAAATAATAATAATTTATTGTTTAAAACCAATTTATTGTTATTTTTGTTTTTTATCTAAAATTATTGAACTTTTCAGAATTATCTTTATTGTTCAATGAATAATTTAGCATAAAATTCTAAGATTATATTATTAACAAGAATGAATTTATACATATTCCATATTGATTTTAAATTTATTTGGTAATTAGGTATCTATTAAAAGTTTCTATTAATAATTTAATATCAACAATACATTTACTCAACAATAAATTAATTTAATTTTGATTACATTTTTCAAATCTTTCATTATTAATTTGTATCATGTCCAATTCTCCAATTTTATTATAATTTTTATATTCTCCAAAATAAATCCATTATCTTTTTTTAAAAAGAATAATCAAAAAATCAAAACTAGCTAAGATTATTATATTTAATTTAAATATTTCTTTTTTAAATATAACCACACAAACTAATTAAAATATCAGAAGAAGAAAAAGATGGCAAAGCCATTACAAGAGACAGCCAATTGTGGCCAAAAACCCCTCAAATTGAATTAATCTCGGAGGTCAAGTAGAGACAGGAAGGATGTTCTAGGGCATTAATGAGGCAGGAATGAGTCAGGAGGGAGAGACAGGAAGCACAAACGATATAAAAATCAGAGATCGGATCCTCCTAGTCGAAAAATTAGAGGGCAGTTAATGATATTATCATCCATATCAACATTAAACATTTATCTTGGTAGATGATTTACAAATCTCTAATGTTTAATAAAATTGCAATACTCTTAGATATTTTTATTTAAATCTACATTAACTTTCTTCAATCTAATTAAAAAAATTAATTTCAGCACTGATAGAAATGCATTAAACATTTTTTTTCCCATATTCATTAAATAACCCTTAATCAATTTAATTATTATTTATTTAATTCATATATTTTTAAATACTCTGTAAAGTTTCTTCTAAACCAACTTTTAAATCATTTTTTATTCTCTTATAAATTGCCTAACTTTAATTAATTAAAACTAATGTAATAGTTCCTTTAAAAATTATTGCTCAATTCTATTGAACCCCTGATTTTAAATTGATCACACCAACTTAAATTTATGCATTACAACATAAATTTTTTATCATTTTATTTTCTAAATTATATCCTCAAATTTTATGTCACTTAAAAATCTATATTTCATTAGACAATATTCTCAAAATTTTAAAATCTATCCATATGCTTAAATTTGAATTTAATGGTATATTACGCTATCATTTGAGATTTAGTCTACAAGAAATTATTATACTTCTAAGTACCTAGAAAAAGATTAAAAAGAAACTCAAAAAAAAATTAGAAAGAATAATTAAAATTTATGAGCTAGGTCAATGATAAACTGAAGTATTATAATGTATGTATGTTAAATATTATTATTTATAATAATTTCATTTCGTTATAAATCCTGAAATCTATTATTTACATTAAATTCATCTGATATATCTATTTCCTGATTTCTTGATCTCACATAATTATATTATTTTCAAGTTTCATAGATTAGATACCTGATATACAATTTTAACAAAACTTTTTTCAATAATGTTAATTAGATCAGATTATTCTGATAGCATAATCGAATGAAATTAAAAATAATTTAACGATGTTAAACAATATCTAAAGATCGGTTCTTTTTGAATTTTTACTTAACTACTAAATATGCTTTATTTTTATCAGTTTTACAAGAAATATTTAATTTTAATCAAAGAGTTTATCATCTATAATTGAAATTGAATCACTTCTTATAATTTAATAATTTTAAGAATAGTATAATGTTAAATTTAAATGTAATCAATTTATAATTCAAAGCATATTTTGATAGTTAAGCTTTTAAGTTAAATGATTATAATATTCTACAAACAGCAAAATTATGGAAGTCTTAATTTTATTACCAAGTAGATGATGATTAAAGGACCAAATTCTAATGGTTTATCAAGTGATCCACTAACTATAAGGTCTTCTGAATTTAGATTTATAGCTAAACATGAAATACCTTGAATATGATCCTTAGTTTTGTATTATTGTTTATTGCTAGTACAAAACTATGATTAACGATATTTTTGGTGATCTAAAATAAAAGTTTATGACTAATATATTATGATTAGGTATTATATAAGGCTCAGTAGTATTAGATCATAATATAATTATCTTAAAAATAATCTAATTTAGCATATTGAAAAAATATATATATTTTACTCAATACAATTATTATTAATAGAAAATGGTAATTAATAACCAAAATTAGATAACAATAGGATGTTGATGAATGATTATTATCATGTAATTGCTGTAGATTTAAGATTCTCTTGTAATAAAAATTTATATATGCAAAATGCTTTTTAGATATGATTGGATCAAAAAAAAGCATTGCTCTATATGATAAGGATACATTTAAGAAATCCGAACTTGGAAATCGAAATAAAAATAAATTAATTTTATAAATATGTATATCATGTTTTATAGCTTTTAAATCATAAAAGAAAATCACTTTGAAATAAAAGCTAATTTGAATTTATAAGATTTGATAAATACAATAATGCTCTATAAGATTTAAGAAGGAGAGAAATTGTAAAACGAAGATGAAAATGATTTAATTGGAGAAAAAAAGTTTATAAGAAGATTGATATATTATAAATTTTTGAAATGGAATAAAATTTAGGATGTTCTAAGGATAATTAATATTCATCAGCTTATCTGAAATAAAATTAAAATTTGCTTATGTATAACATTCTTATTATATTGATATTGCGCTAAATTAAATAAGATTTAAAATAAACTATAAAATTTATGTTAATTAATGGCTGGTTAAAAGTATGAGTAAGAAATATGTCTATTACTAACTTGCAGAGAATTATTTCCCATCAATTCTTTCACTTTTTTATCGCCCTACTAATTTCTAAAAGGATATAAAATTAAACAGTTTACTATTTATCTAACATTTAGGTTGTAAAAGTATCTCTTGATGCGCTGAATAGAATTTCTGCTTCTTAATTTAGACATTATTTTTCAAATAATCTAGATATTCTTGAGCTAAACGGAATAGTCTCAAAATTCTTATTCTAGTTTTCATTTGCAGGCTACAACAACTACTTTATAACTAATAATTTATTTTGCTTGAGGCATTAAGAATTTTTTAATCTTAAGAAAACGTTTAACTACACGAATTCTTTGTTCCTGATTATTTTTGAACATTTTATTATAAAATGGAATTCTATTGATAATTCGAAACCATTTTAAAAATCCTACCTTTAATATTGTTTAAATTATCTGAATATTGATCCGCTTGCTCTTTTATTAACTAAATTACAATCTCAGATGTAATCTAAAAAATAAACTTTAAATTAATGATTCCAAGAATAATGAAATAAGGAATTTGAATCTCTAATAAATCTTATTGATATGCTAGAACTATAATCTAATTTATTGAGAGTATTTGAACTATAAGGAAGAGATCTGTTAGTCATTTCTAAATAAATAGCTAAAATCAAAAAAATAATTGTTGCTTTGATTACAATACTATCTTAAAAATAAGTTAAAAATATGATCATAAATTCTTTTTAGGCTATTTTAATAACTTCCCAATAAAATACTGTTTTTGTATATTCATTATATAAATAACCGAATTAAAGTCTAGTAGATTTATTATCTAAATTTTGTCTATTTTTAAAGAGTTCATAAAGGAAGAAAGTAGGTACCAAAATTGCAAGGAAGAGTAACATAGGAAAACATAATTATAACATCCATTTTTGATGTTCATAAGTATCAAATCTATAAGCAACATTAGCCAAAATCCATTTATAACCGGATATTTGACGATAAGAGATAAGTTATACAAATCCACCTATTAAACTTGGTTATAAGTAAATGTACATATAAATAAAAGTAGTTGTAATAACACTTTTATTAAGGATCACCATTTTTAATTAGGCTGCTATAGTGTAGCAAAGAAAGAAAAAGTTAATATAAATAAAAGGCATAATAATTTACCAAATCATTCTTGCATAATGGATTTCAATATTGAACATTGAAGTTAAAAAACAATCTAATGAATATGACATAGTTTAGATAGGTGATGATGCTATATTAATTGTACTTTCTAAATTTGAAGGTAACTTCAACTAAAAGGTAGCTATA